GTCTGAAAAGTCACTAGAACTTATTTTCATTAAATATTTTTAGAATATACAGAACATACCGATGTTTTTAAAATTATATAAGTTGAAATTTTAAATTTTTTAGCTTGGTAATGCACAAATAGTTGCCAAAATATAACTTTAAAAAGACTATTTCTTTAAAAATAAAGATTACGTATAATCGTTTACCGAGTACACAAAATATTATTTTGTTGTCTACCCTGTCTACTTTATTGTAGAATATTCTAGTTGTACTCATTGCTTATATAGTTTGAAGTCATAATACTTTAAACTGTGTTGACTACCGAAAGTTTTTTATTTTCAATAGCGAAATAAGTCTAAACGTACATACGACATGGTATCAGCGGGTTTTTATCAACGTTTCAACGACTTCCGGCTATAATACTTTAAACTATGTTGACTACCGAAAGTTGTTTATGTTCAATAGCGAAATAAGTCTATACGAACATACGACAAGGTATCCGTAGGTTTCTATCATCGTTTGAACGACTTCCGGCTACCGAGCGTAGTACTTTCTTTAAGTGTAAGCAATAACTTCAGTACGATTTCAGTTAAGCAGACGATTTAAGTATAAGATCTTACACTTGGTTTATTTTTAATTTTTTTTAGTGAATTCCGAAATAGGGAAGTGGTGCTAAACTCTATTTCTGGTTTCTATATTACCGATAACTTGAGTGCCATTTCAGTTAGATAGACGACATTTCGTGCACCGGTATAAGACCTTAATCCCTAGTTTTTAGTAATTTTTGGTGAAAAGAAAGTGGTAATTTACGATATTTTCGTTTTCTCAAAAAACCTTAAGAATTTATTTTACTTGATTCCTTTGTCTATCGTCCATCAAGTGCGGAAAAATGCGAGAAAACGTAAGACCACGTATAATGGGCCGTTTGTTTTTTAAAAATATTCTGGTGGGTCAACACTCGGTGGTAATGCATGGGATCGGCAAAGCTCATGGTTAATTATCCGAAAAGTATCGAGTTCAAAACCCAAGGCAGACGATAGTTGCAGACAGCAACTCACCTTCGAAAGACAACTCCAAATTCATAACAAGATGACACGTTATATTTAATTGTGTTGGAGGATTTCCCTTCCAACATTACAGTTAACAATGAAGAAGAGGAAAGAAAGAAGTGTTTTAATTAACTATCATATTACTAATTTTCCGCTCTATTATACTTACATTTATTGCGCTCATTTGGTTTGCTATTCTTTTTAAGAATTTGATAATTTCACACCATATTTTCAAAAAGCACATTCTGTAAAATATTCGCATCAATGTTTTTTCATTAAAAAATAGCGGAATTCGTCACAAACTTCTAAATTTCTATAGCCTGATTGCACTGGAAGTACTGTCCCCCTTACTGTTTTAAAGAATACAAGAAAAAGTTTAAGGGAGATCACTCCCATTTTAGAAGTTCGATTTTTATAAAAGTTCACAATTATTATTTTTACAAAATAAATAAAATGTCAAAAAAATGATAAAGAGTACTAGTTTTAAAAATCCACCCGAATATATACACGATCAACAGGCGCATGTATAGTTGATACGATTCATGACGTATGTGCGTCGTGACGTCAAGGGCTAAACGATATAGAAATTTCAAGATACGTATTTTCTAGCTCTGGCGCACTCTATTATTGTGTCATGCTGTCTCGCTGTCGTATTTGAACGGTCATCAGCCGCGGCCGCTAGTTCTAGTGTCCACACTGATAAAATCTGATCGAAAATCATATGAGTCGGGCGTGTGTCTTGACCTCCGCCGAACCCCTGAGACTGACTCCCCGAACCCCAGGGGTTTGACAGAACCAAGGTTAAAAACTATTGTTCTAGATCTTGATCATAATCTGGGTGATTATACGAGTGCTCTAATGGGCACCAGACTCAAGTTAGAGAATGTGAAGACGGCTGGGCGTAGTTTTGACCACAATACTCCTTCATATGCCGAGGTCACAGAAACAGGTGAAATCTACTTCACTTGCCCCATGATCCGCCAGGTTTCAAAAGGGAACTTTACTTGTACATTATCCGCAATAAAGAGTTGAAGATGTTGTTTTAGCAGTTTTCTTGCTGTTTTCTTGCTTCCCTTTCTCTCGTACTCCGAAATTATGTTCCCTGCTATAGTCCCAGTTATTACTTCCCCTACTCGCGCCCTCCAGATTACGTACCCTGCTTGAGTCCCTTCTTATTATAACTCCTGCTCGTGTTCTATTTGTATTCTCTGTTTGTCCCTCCCCCTTTTCACAATACACAATCGTATATTCTCACTTAAGTGTGGTTTACTGCGAAGTGATCCAAAATACATTTATTGTTGTTCTTTTGCAGATTTAACAGTAAAAGTACCTCGATGTGTTGTGTTTTAATGAGATCAATCATGTTTAAAAATATTTTACTAAAACTGATTAAACAGACATTGCAGTTATTTAAGTTTCTTTTTTTAAACATTTAACCAACAATATTGTATGAATGAGTTTGTAGCTTCAGTGTAAAGCTGCAAAAGTATTTCAAGGAATATACTCTTCGATGGAAATCCTTTTTTTTACTTCTGTATTTCCTAGTAAAACGTTTCTGAAAAATCACAAGATTCACAGAGAAAATGAAATTTATTAAACTTTTCTTTACTGAATACAGACCTTGAAAATGATTGACGTTAATGTACTTTGCTTTTGAAGGCAAGACTTTATTTTATGATTTACCTTATAGTTGGCGAAATCAAATATGTTAATCGTATGTATAAGTTTTAACTGTGTTTTAACATTGTTTTTAAGCATTTAACACATTTTGCAATAATTATCCTTAATATGAAAAAAAATAAAAATAACAGAATTGAGCCCGTTAGTTTGTATAATTTATTTTTTAACTTAATTTTTCCCTACAACAATTCTTTACGTCTTAAACCTTGGGTACAGCCAAACAAGTCGATCACATGGATTTTGTTGGGACGACCATCCTCGTGTAACTATTTCCCCTGGGACAGGTAACAATCAGGTACAACATCGCGACCTGAAACTGATAGTCACGGGATAAAACGGTTCCCCTGTCACGTGGTTCCCGGCTAAAACACGTTTCTTGCTGGATGAGCTGACCTTTTCAACACGACGTTCAAATTGGGTCGACACAGGAAAACACAATGTTGTGTAGTTCACAGGCACACGTCTACATACTCCCTTGTTTAGTGACAATCACACACATTTTTTTTACTAAATCTTGGTTTATTAAAACCATTACACTGTACAATCATATGTAAATATTATATTATACTAGCCTAAATATTATTTCGGGAAAGCTACAATTTTAGACATTATTATTATTGTTAGCGTATTATGTTTTTAAAATGTTTAAAAGCACGTAACAGACAACATACATTATATATATACATAAAGATATATATATATATATATATATATATATATATATATATATATATATATATATATATATATATATATATATATATATATATAATATCGTCATAAGTATTTCCCATTATGTGCACATAGGGCCGGCACAAATAGTTCCCTTCACTTCCGTCTGTTTCCGGGAATGTTCCTTGTAGTTCCCCAAGTCCCGCCTCTGCTACATGGTTCTCCGTCGTGCGCCTCCGTGTCTTCCTTGGCATTCCTTGTTTTAATTTCATTGATGCGTCCAGTTTAGCGCCATTCTTGCGATACCATTTGACGCATCCTTAATTAAGTCGTGCCCCTTCAAGCGCCATCTTCTAATTTTCGATTATTTCGAAAACTGCTTCAATTTCCATCTCTCTTAGTCGTTTATCGTTAGACCAGTGGATGACTTTTATCATTCGAAAGCACTTAGTTTGGAAAGAGTCCAGTGATCTGCTGGTGGCGATTTTACTTTCAAGCATACAGTTTGACGCTAAGGACATTACTTTTAAAAAGTCTGCATTTGTTTTGGTGGAGATTTTCTTCGATCGCCATGTTTTTACATGGTAGCAAATACTTGCTTGAGGCAAGAGCAGTCTTCAACCAACTAAAAAATGTTCGGGGTTCTGGAGATTAAGCCCTCGGAATAAAAATCCGGATTTTCAACACACTAGTAAAACCTGTTTTACTCTATGGCGCTGAGACATGGAGAATAACTGCTTTAAATAAGAAGAAAATACAATAATTTATAAACGCATGCCTCAGATACATCCTGCGAATTCGCTGGCCTAAAACCATCAGAAATTATGTTCTGTGGCAACGGACAAATCAACTGCTAGTTGAAGTAGAGATCCTCCAGAGAAAATGGAAATGGATTGGCCACACACTCTAGAATCCAGTATCCAGCATAACAAGACAGGCCCTCACCTGTAATCCACAGGGCAAGAAGAGGAGAGGCAGACCAAGAAAGACCTGGAGACATGACCTGGAAGAAGACACCAAGAAGATTGGATACACCTTGGAACGGAGAGACTAGCCCAGGACAGAGACGCCTGGAAAGCTCTTGCTAGGGGCCTATGTCCCAGGAGGGACGACAGGCAAACCTAATCTAACCAAATGTTTGCTTGGCTTTAGCTATGTGTTTTAATTTCCTTCATAATTGACATTGCTACCTAAAAATTTGAATTTTATCTCCTCTATTTATGTGTTTATTTAATAGGTTCTCAACTAGTTGTATTTTGCTTTATAGCTTTGTTTTTTTTCTGTCAACTTTGAGTCCAACTTTATTCGCAAAATAAATAAGTTTCTTGCATGTTCGTTTGACTAGTGGCTAGTAGAATTATGTCGTCTGCAAAATCCAGGTCCTCTAGGCTAGTTGTTAGTGTCCATCGGATATCTCTCGTTCTATTTAATTACCTTCAAATCATATGCTTAGATTATTATTATAATTTATTCAATTAGGTCAGACAGATGACTCACATATACCAACAAACAAGTAACATGTACACAATACAATTACCAGAAACACGCACTTCTATCCTGTTATCAAGTTGATCTACTTTAAAAAGTTATTTGTCATTCTTATTTAAGTGCGTCACTGCTTAGTTTTTCAATCGGCGTCGAAAAAGTTCAGTCAGATTGACTCTGAAGTTTTTGTTCATGACGATGTAGACGACAAAGTCGCTGGAGCTGTTGATGCAGCCGATGATGTTGGAGACCTGGCTCACGATAAGTGCCACGTTGGTCGGTGGTTTGTCCGCTAGCGTGTACCAGGCGTACTCAGGCTTAAAAAGAGCGAGGGATGCGTACGCGGAGGTGATGACGTAGAGAAAACAGACCGCAAGGAGTATCTTTGTCGTCTTTTGACTGAAGCTGGAGTTTGCGCTTAAAGCTTTGCGTTTGATCGAAGCGATTTTGAGTTTGATAGAAATGACAATGCATCCAAGTGCTGTGAACAGGGGCGGTATTACCATACTGGTATACCCAAATAACGTTTCTACGGCAACAACAGCTTCAAGATTTCCGGCAATCATATCGGAATTTTCAAAATGTCCGATAGATTTGTTTAAATGTGCGTCCCAAATGTATTCGATGTCGAGCCAGAAGCTGGTGTAGACGAAAATGCTGCTCCAGTAAAGTATGACCGTCCCTAGTACCAGCCACGTTCTTTCTGGTGTGACAATACGATGACAGGACAGAGGGAAAAATATAACAATCAACCTTTCTATCGTGATCAACATCGGCACTGATAGAGCCATCAAACCAAAGGAGTAATCCAAGAAGGTGAAGACAGAGAAGAAGATAAACAAGAGATAAGTATCGTACTCAGAAAACCCATCGTAGCTTAGGTGTCCAGTTGCGATATATAGTACCTTAGGTATACTGTTGTAGGCGATGAGGTACACTGTATTACAAAATGCTAGACTGATGAGTAGAATGTTAGATGACTTGTGAATGCCGTTTTTAACCAGAATGATTATACTTAAAGTATTTCCTATGATACCGAAGAAAGCGATGACCGGAGTAAAAATGTACATCAGAAGTTTCATAACAATATCAGTTATTTCATCGCTTATTATATCGTCGTTAATTAATTCATCAACATCAGCTCCCTCTGTGACCAAAGATGTAATGTTTTCAATTCCTTCCATCTTTCTATACAATAAAAAAAACGTTTAGATTAATACCTTTGTAGCCTTGCTTTTACATATATTTATCTAAACTATAGACAATATAACAAAATGACATTTTCTTCTTACATAAAATGTTGTACATTTTAAAAGAAATGTGGAATTAAATGTTAGGCTTCCGAAATGAAACGCAAGTTGTTCTTTTCTTTCTTTTTTTTTTATGGTTTAGTAAAAAAATAAATCCTTTAAAATCAACAAACGGGAATTTGAATTAATGTATTATAGCTCATAAATGTTTTGAGTATAAATTACATTAGGAATGTGCTAGGTATTCATCACAATCAGGGTTCCTTTTAGACATGTTGCTTCGGTGTGAGCGGGATGGGGCACCTGAAACTTTCTAGCAATTATTAAAGTGTATATTTTCTATTTAAATAAAAAATGCTTTAGGTTGTAAGTCTCGGTGGAGAGTGGGGTGGTGGTGAAATGCCTGAAAGAAACACAAATCGCAGTCAGAGGCAGATTATGGATGTGCGGGCTACAGTTCGTAGTCATCAATGGTTTGTGACCTACCCCTTCCAATACCCCCCCCCCCCCTGCATAACAAAATTGTGTAACAAAGCACAACTAATCGTATCGATAACCGTTACCGTCCTGCGTCTTAATAATTTTCCACCAGACCTCAACTCTCTTTTAGGTCTAGTCTAACACTAGCAGAGGCGTAGCGACCCTTCCCGGTTCCCGGGGAACTTTCAATTTGGCGCCCACTTTCAGTTTTCGATTTGCACCCCCCCCCCCCACCTCATTTATTTTTGTTTTATATTTATAAAGCAAAAATGCAGCTAAAATGATATTTTAATTTGTTTTTCCAACCCATTTTGACTCCCCCTAACGTCGGCGCCCGGGGACATATGTACCCCCCTGCCCCCCCCCCCCCCCCCCTTTCGCTACGCCTATGAACACTAGCCTAAGATTTCTTTACATTTAGTCTTATCATATAGGTCCAGTATCACCTGACCATCTGTAGGATATTTCAGATTCCGTCGCACTTCTCTTTGCCTGTTAGATCATAGGATTCAATGTCATTTATTTCACTACATAAATAAAACAACGCGAAAACTCGATGATAAAATCGAACATTTTACGACATCTAAAAACCTAAAATTTACTTTCAAATGTTTTCTTTGTGAACCTAGTGATCCCGTGCGACAAACTGACGAAAACTAAAAGAACGATTTGTTTGAAATTAAGTGCTGTTCACTTTTATAACATGTACGTAAAACATGTCTCTCTTCGGGACTCATAAATGTTGAAATTGGTCTTAAATTGAACAGCACCTGGTAAAAAAATAAGTTAAATGCTTCTGAGCTGTCTTCTAAATCTAGAAATGTCTAGTCAAACGCACGAGGGCTCCATTAGATTTTAGGGTCATGAAGCACGGAGAGTACAGACCTGAGTATTGGCAATCAATGGCGAGCCAGGAATGAGAAGAACTAACGATATGGTGATCGATCTCTTTAGAATCGTATGAAAATAATATGCAATCTCATAGTGTGGAGGGAGGGGCTGGGATGAGAGACAACTGGTAGTAATGTAACCATTTACCCGCATCTCCCCCACTCCCCCCGGAAAAATAATAATCACAAAAAATGCTTTGATATGAAACATCAAAGAAAGCTGCTCTACCACTGTAGCAGACGTTGGGGGCGAGTCTACCGTGAGCTATAAACACCAACAGACGTAAACCTATAGCTCCCCCACTCCCAGTGGCGGAACTAGAAAAAAAGTGCCACCCCGCAAACAAAAATTCTGGGCCCCCCTCCTACCCTCCTATATATATATATATATATATATATATATATATATATATATATATATATATATATATATATATATATATATATATATATATATATATATATAAACAGAATACAAACATTTGATACTCATTTCTGGCCTGATCGGGTTATGAAAAAAAAATCATTTTTTTTTCACCCCCCCCCCTAACCCCCCTCAATCCACACACGTCCGACAAAGTTATTTTTTGTGGACGCTTAGTGATATTACTATCTTACATGAACTTTCATTTTATTGTAAATAATTTATTTGATGGGACGTTCTATATGAACTAGCCGTTGGTACCCGTTACACGTGAATTATCGGTTTATATATATTTAAACAAATTACAATATATTATGTGTGTGAGTGCATTAGTCTGCTTCGTATTTTTTTTTTCTAGGTTTAGAAATATTTTGCGGTAATGCTGCCAATCCTCTGCTTAGCCGGTCAAAAGACTATAAAAATGAAAGCTTTGTATGTGTAATGGTTTCTCGTGTTATGTTTATTTTAATGTTTTTTTGTATTATATTATTTGTTTTAAATATATTTCCTTTTTATGTTCTGTCAGTTTTAGTATGTATTTTTTTTTAAAATAATAAGTAAGAGAAGAAATTGCTTGTTAATTTGTTTAGTACACATATATTAAAAGGAGCAACCCTTTTTAACTATTTAAAAAAGGGAAATAAGCCACGCAAGTGTTTTGAACGTTTGCCTATCTTTCACACTACAGCTCAGGCATATATTTTTTTAAGCAACAGCATGTGTTAGCTACTGTATAACATCACTAATGTAGTAGATCTGTTTGTTATTTACAAAAGCTTTTACAATCAAGTAAAAAATGCAAGAAAATTATTTTTTAACTATGAAAACTTTATTATGGTCGGCTATGGGCCCCTAACTGGCGTGGGCCCCCCCGCATTGCGGGGTCTGGCGGCACTGTAGTTCCGCCCCTGCCCACTCCCCAAAACTTTAAGGACTTTAAGCGTGTTTTCCATCAGCGTCGTGTTAGAGGCACTGTTTACGTGATACCCTTAAGCTAAATCCCCATAGAATCAAGATGCGGACATGTAAATGAACATAATCTATGAATAACTGTTTCTTACTGACTAAAACTTTACACTATTTTCAGGCTTCGGATAAAGTGTGACGGCTGATCATGGTATTTTCCTGAATATTCATCTAGTGTAAAAATAAATTTGTAAATGATTCGAGTTTCTATTTATCCTGCTGTATTCATTTTAAAACATCAAGTAGATCTGAATACCACTTCTGTACTGTATTATTATTAATGCAATTTAACTAAAGTCATTTCGTGGAAAGTATTGGTAAAATAAATAAACCTGATTTAGAATCAACGGTAATTTAATTTATCCGAGTTTCTGAGTTCAATGGACGATACGCGGAGGTATCGATCTAGAACAAACGACGAAAAGTGAACGCTGTAATTTTTTGAAATACGTAGTTAAACAATAAATTGTATAATCAATTTGATACGTCCCTTTAGGGCGAAAAACAATTTACTGACAAAGGCGGGCGGAGAGAATCATCAGTGCATAAATCGATAACATTGGAAACCAAATTTGAAACTATCCACGTCCGAAAAGCCACTAGACATTAATATCATTACTTTTATTAGAGTTTACAGAACGTATCGATGGTTTCAAAATTAGTTAAGTATAATATTTTTGGCCAGATAATGTCCTCAAACAAAAAAATAGTGGCCAAACTATAGATAATAAGCTGCCCGGGGACATTGAATAGTGACTTGTAATTTACCCAATCTGCTTAATTCTAAAATATTCTAGTTTTACTCAGTTCATAAAGTAGACGATATACTAACAAATGTTGTGTTTATTTTTTCGGTTATCCAATGGGCAGATGAAGTAGAGTTCATGTTTCTAACAGCGGTAATAAAGGGCCATTATAATTTAGTAAAATGATTTGCTGATTTCAGCAAGGGGAGTAACTCATATATACCAACAATTTATAGCAGTGGCTAACTCAGCCTGTGAACTATGCGAGAGGGGGGGGGAGGGGGGGAGAGGAGGGGGAGGGGATTTATTTTCTTCTCGTGCATCAAACATACATCGCTTTCTTATATTTAAAACACAACGTGTATCCTTGTCGGTATTGTGTGAGAAATTATCTCTCAGGATTTATAATGACGTGAGTTGGAATTTTTGTGGAAGCACATATTGAATTATTGGGACATTTTTTTTTATTGTTGGATGCGTTTGACTGTATAGAGTATAATAAAAATTACCTCTCATTTTCTATCTTTTAATGTGTGCATTTCTGTAGGTATAACACTATTTGCCTGCTTTTATGTATCTTTTTAACTTAAAATACAACTTTGCAGTTATTGCAAAAAAAGAACAAGCAATTTATATCCAGTATTTTTTAAATCTCAATTATTGTAGTAGCGAATTTTTAGCAAACTGGGGGTTGGGGGGGGGGGGGGGGTGTCAGCGTAATGCTGTACACATTTTGAGGAGTTGGTGCAGTGGCGTACATATATATCCACAAATATATAGTCGTAGAGAACTAGCTAGAAGTTGTAGTTCAACACACAGTGTTTAAGCCTACACAAATTACATCATCTCCTAATTACCATAGACCAAACCAGCGCCGTGTCACGCTCGACGAGGTCTCTGCCTCCAAACTTCTCTACCAGCCCCTTGCCACGCTCGGCGGGGTTATGCCTTCAAGTTCTCTACCACTGCCGTCGTCCTACGGCGTGGGCATGAATGAATGCCACATTTTTCACGGGCTGACTTCACAAGGGTGGAAGTTAATGCATGCAGATCGGTGTGACGGCGCGATTAGTACTTGCGACTCATGAAGGTTTTCAGGTATGTTGTACGATGTTATGTGTGGAGCGGTAATTAGTAAAACCCCTGACCAGACGCTCTGAGACTTGTGCGTGACTTGGCAAACGTGCCGTGCGGAGATGAAATCCTATTACCTAGGTGGGGAAGTATCGCTCGACCTGTGACCTTTTCACCTTTTGTTAGCCGTATTAATTTTTTTAAAGGGGATATAACCAGCATTGATAAAGGAATAGAATTATGAATAAGCGGAAAACAAGTATAGTTTTGCTGAGGGTTCTTTGAGTTATTAAACACCACACCATTACAAATGTGTATTCTAGAAGTTGAAAAGTATGATTGTATATTTATGTT